TTCCCAAGGGAAGGATCTGTCTGAAACTCTCCTTATCGAAATGTATTTGTTCTGCAAGTCACTAGATTGTGAATGATCTTAAAAGTAATTGCTGCTACTGCAAATCATTCAATTAAGTTGAACAGTGTTTTTAGTTATCCTCGAAAATTCTCTTCTTTTTACGATAATGTCAATGAGATTAATTTTGCGGATTTTAGAAATATTATATTTTCTCTTAATGATACAAAGTATTTCTCCACTGACAGCTGGCTTGGCAGTCATGAGATGCACTCGGATGTATTTTACATCAGACTGTGCAAGCTCCGATTACATTTAGTCACTTCACCAGGGCTTACCCGGCATGCAGTCATTAACTGACTGATTGCTGGAATTCTTGGCCTGGCCTGTGCATCTCTCGATATGCCTGCTTGTCTTGCCAACAGATTGCAACTCAACACGTAGTAGAAGAGTGTAAGGAAACTAAAGCATTTTAGGATTTGATACATGATTTTATAGAACACAACAATTTTTTGCAGGGATTACAGCTTTCTTTGATCTGTGTGTACAGGGCAATGAATATATCAACCGTGCCAATCTCTTGTCAACAAAATCTAAAAAAGTATGTACAGTGTAAGTGACTACCACATAGCAACTTTAAAGAATGAATCTGAGAAGTCAAGCAAACAGTTGGTCTAGAGGCTCAGCTGTTAAGGTATAAACTGGATGAATGCCAGGGAACTAACAGTTAAACCTGGAAAGTTTCTGTCTCCTTGACTTTAGTTATTTTTTAAAACTTTAAATTCAAATTAATCGAGGTGCTTTTTTACTGTTTAGATAACTTGTAAGTATCAGTGTTTCAAATTATATCTTTATTTAAATCTGACTCATACTGGTTCCTGGCTTGCTTATATCTCAAAGTGATAGATTACATACTCAGAAAAACCCCTCTGACTTCCAACATGGGGCTGCTCCGGTGTATCAATGGGTCAGAGCACAATTTTACCTATTGCTAGCCACTAAACACAGTGATTAAAATTAATATATTGTAAATTAACATATCTCATTCTAATACTCAGTTTTATCATCAGAAAAATAAAATGGCTACATATGGTATAATTTTTACATCCAGTCTCTAAATTTAGATAAATCAATCCATAGCTGGAAATTTAAAAAAAGTCGATGAATTTAAACATGTTTTGGCAATTTCGAATGCTGATAAGCCTTCTTATCGAGAAACGTCTGGTGCCTAAGAATGGATTTATATGTCTAGCTTTAGACAGCCGAATGGAAGCTTCCAGTATAAAGACTTTTTTTTAGCCGCACTGTAATACATAAACCCATTATTTTCTCAGAGCAGTTTGGAACCACCGCAAACTGGAGGTGAAGTATAGCTAACCCTATCAAGTAGCATATGAGATCATAATTAGAAATTTTGAATGCTATTTCTAGCTTCTCTAGGTTAGACTATAATGTATTTATAACAGTTTTCATCATCATTACTTCTTAGGTAACCTGCAAAGCTGTGCACTATAGAATTTAAAGACACAAATACAAAATACAGTATTGCATACATATTGGTGTTCAGCTATGCTTCCAGCATTATTACATATAGACTATTTGCTATATATTTAAAAATTACTTAAAACTAAACACACATTTTAACCTTCACACTGTTTAAATATTTATTCAGAAAATAATATAGATGCTCTATGAAATAATATGGTAAATAGTAAATTCAAAATGCACTGGATTACAATAATTATAATTAATCAAGTTCAGGTATTCAAGACATAAATAAAGTAATAGGGAGAACCATAGAAAACTAAAGGACTCATTTCAAGAAAAGTATAAATATCCTGGATTTGCAGAACCTGTCCAATGAAAAATTATTACTTAAAAAAATATGACCCAAACCTAATCTGTTCAAAGAAATAACATGATGAAATACATCTAGTAAGACTTTTTAAAATAATTCCTTTGAACTTTGCAATTCTGCAAAATTACTTACGATAGTATAATAATTAAATTTAACAGAAAAAATAAAACAGACCTTAAAATCAACAGACCAAAGTGAAGAATCTCAAGTATAATTAATAGCAAGTAAAGTTGTTTTGTTCCTTCCTTGTCTAAGTAGACTTGAAGTTGCTCCAGCTATTCACTAAAGATTGCTTGGTGCTCAGTGAGCATTCAGAAGGCTGGGGCCTCTGTGTTACATCTGTCCTCTGTGACTATGTAATTCTTACCCCACTCATCTATATTTGGGAACTGAACTCATGTTTCAGCAGACTGTTGCTATCTGGAATTCCAATAGAAGCAACGGTAGGCCTGGAAGTGGCACAAAGTTCCCTGCACTTACTACACAGAAATTCAGAGAACCTAATCATTTAAATGAACAATTTTTGTTACATTTAACACATTGTTTCAGACTGGTTTAAAATATTACTCTGGAATTTTAGGATGTGATTTTTGTTCATTATTGAAGGGCCTACCTGCACAGGCCATAGAAAACACAGTGTATGGAAGCTATTTTTTAAAAAAAAAATTTCTTTCTACAGAGTTTTGTCTTAACATATTTTAATTAACTATTTATTTTCTAAAACCCAAAATCAAGTATTTCTATGACAATAAATAAAATGATTTTCTTTTTCTACTAGAATTAGTTTAAAACTAATACTTTCCTTGTGTACCTTATAGTCTTCCAGGAAAGGAAAAAAACATAGAATCATTTAGGTTGAAAAAAACCTAATATTTTTAGAGTTATCAGCAGAAATGGTACACCTTTTTTATCATAATAGGTGCTTAGTAATCTGTAACCGTGTACTACACTGCATAAATAAATTAACCTACTGAATTTTCACATCTCAAATGACGTAATCTGATCAGAAAAGAAGTATCTCCCTCACACATGAGGGAAACCTCACACAAAACCCCTGAAGAACATGCATGTTTTAAAAAGACCCTGCAACTCTGACACGTGTATTAACACTCCATCAAAATGCATTTCTGGTTTCTATAGCCTCACAGAGTGTAATGGATAACACAGTCTGCTCTCCCGTACTGTCTTTATTAAGGAAATATTTTCACCTCACTAAGAACTCCTGTGAAAATTTTGTCTCAGGAAAGAAAATTTTTCTGTCCAAGAGCACTCTTGAGCCTTTTCAGTCACATCATTTGCTCTGTTGCTCAGTGACATGAAGAAGTAAACATGAAGTCTGCTGATTTAATCTACAGACATTATCACATAATTTCCAGAGATAAAAGCAACTTGCAGGTAGGATTGTTTCTGCCAGATCATAGCCCATTGGGAGTCAGATTTTCTAGAATACATAGGAGAAATTGTAGCTCCAAATGGCTGTTACAGACCTCTGTCTCTTCTGCCAGCATCCATTACACACCTTCTCTGGCCTGAATTCATTTTCTGGGCTGGCACTTGTTCTTAGTCCAAACCCTTCTAGATATTGCCTTGCTTTTTTTCACTAAAGTTTATTCATTGCCAACAATGTAAGCACAGTGAACCCACTGTTCTGAACAGAAGTGCACAAGATACTCAAATCTCCCTGTTGGTCTCAGACTATCTTTATGTGTTACCTGTGGTTAATATAGTATCTTTCTTTACATCTCCATATAGGCAATTACTGTCCCCTAATCAGAGCTTCAACAGATTTCTTGTTGGATTAGGAATACTTCCTTGCTTCAAATTGTATACAAACCCCATTCGTACGACTTGAGAGCCTTACCATGTTGTAATGAAATTAATAAAAAGGATTTTATTTCAGGTCATTTTACAGCAATTTTAGTGTATCAAATAAGAACAGAATCATCATTCTGAAGATCCCAGGCTAAAAACTATACATAAGAAAAGGAGCTGGTCATCTAAGGATTAACCACTGTGCGCTTAATTTTTAAGCAGTGACCCCACGAGGTGGAATCCAGGCCCCAGCCTCTCCACTAAATGCATAAGAGTTATCCACCTTGGAATGGAAACCAAAAATAGCCTGCATATAAACAGTAACGAACTGCCTTGGGCTATCTTCAGCATTTTCTGCAGGAGGGGGTGGATGAAATCCTGGTTCTTTGGATGATGTGTTTAAATTCTCTCTTCTGAAGAGAAAACAATAATCTGCCTGGAGACATCTACAGAGATGATTTTAAAAGGGATTGAGCTTTTATGAACACAGTTACACTGGTGAT